TTTTCGAAAAAAAAAAAAAGCCTACCAAAGGCGGCTAAAGCCAAAGCTAGATCATGAGGCTATTTTCATTTTTGTTTTTATTTTTATTTCGGTTTGTTGATCAATTTCTTGAATATGGAGTGAAGTTACATATTCATCCTCCTCTTAGCAAAAAATTATAAAAGAAACATTTGATGCACCAAACTAAAAAAAAAAAAATGTGGGATCAGCCTAACCGACAATGTTATAAAATATAATATTTTCTGAAATGTAATATTTTAGTTTAAATATAAATTTAAAAAAAAAAACATATAACTGTATAACTGAATAAAAATGCATTTTTTTTTTTACAAAAATTATAGTTAACAATTTTTTACTATTTTTTTCATTAAAGTAATAATAAAATTAAAAAAATGATGTCATGAATATAATGTTAACTATAATTATCTGATAAATAAAAATATTTTTTTTTCTTTTTATAACAGTTTAATTTTAAAAAGAAGCTAAAAGAATACCTATTAAAAATAACACATCACAAAATAAAAGTAATTAAAAATATTTTCTAATTTTATTTTAATGTATAATATATCCTTAGTTATAATTAAAATCTTTATAAATAGTTACAATAAATAATTATATAAATAATCATAATTCCATCTTAGATTTACTTAATTATATTTTATATTAATTAATATATATAATAGTTTATATAACAAAAGAATAGAATAAAAATATAAAAAAATAGAAAAAATTTCAAAACTAGTCCCACAGGTTTAGTGTCATATGCCACGTCCCACGTGTGATAACTGCTGCCAGTGTGTCAAGAAAAACCGCCATCTCTGCGCCACATGCCATATTGGGCCTTTCGAACCCAAAATCGCATCAAAAGTCATACTTTTGTCTAATTTTTAAAAGCTGTGGGACTATTTATGACTTTCAATATTTTGCGGGACAAAAAATGGGAACCCCGTAATGAGACTAGTTTTGAATTTTTTCCAATTTTCTTGTTATTTCCATGGGGACTGAAAAGCAAAATTTGTCATGTTTTCAAATTGGGTATTACTATTTACCGCCCCCCCCCCCTTTTACTAATCACCGCCCCCCAATTACGTTTTTGCCCTTATGACTATCTCTCTACTTTCTCTCTCTACTCTTTCCCTCTCGACTTTTCACGGCTCTTTTGACCGTCAAAAAAATGTCAAAAAAATCCGAAAAAAATACAATGACATCGGCAACACATTGAAGATTGACTATGTATTTTTTTTTATATTTTTTCACTTTACAAATAATTTTTTAATTTTTTTTTTTCATTTTTTTTTTCGTGTCCGGCCGGACGGACCGGACACACCAATGGGTGTCCGGCCGGACGGACCGGACGCACTCATTGGTGTCCGGCCGGACGCTATATTACTTGTCCGGTCCGTCCGGCCGGACATGAAAAAAAAAATGAAAAAAAAATTTAAAAAATTATTTGTAAAGTGAAAAAATATAAAAAAAAATATATAGTCAATCTTCAATGTGTTGCCGATGTCATGGTATTTTTTTCGGATTTTTTCGACATTTTTTTGACGGTCAAAATAGCCGTGAAAAGTCGAGAGGGAAATAGTAGAGAGAGAAAGTAGAGAGATAGTCATAAGGGCAAAAACGTAACTGAGGGAGGGCGGTGATTAGTAAAAGAGGGGCGGTAAATAGCAATTCACTAATTTCAACAGTAGAATTTACAATTTAGCACTTAAAACACAGCTTATTTTTTGCAGGATTTTTGTTGTATATTTAAATTTATGTAAAAGTGATAGTAATGTAACTATTTAAATAATAATTAATTAGTAGGCTAAATAGTTTGTTATATACAATAGGCCAATAGTTTTAAATGTTTTGCTGCATGGCAGCAATTGATAGCAGCTATATTGTCTAAAACTATGCACTCATTAGCCAGATCTATGCTCTCTATGGGGCTGCTGCTGAGTGACACCATTTTGAGGCACTTTCAGGGGACAAACTAATCCTACTTGCTCATATTTTGTCCAATTTGATAAACTAATCCTATTCAGCACTTTTGAATAGTTTGTCAATTACAATTTTGCTATGGAGCCATCAGATGACACGACTTATGAAACTATTTATATTTGTTCACAAATAGTGTGGCTGACACGTGTCCTACAATAAATACACTTTGAACACGTGTCATTACATTAAGTGATGGATGTCTCCATAAGAAAACCGTCCGATTGTTCTGGAGAATTTTTAATGTGAACAATAATGTCACCTCCAATTAATAACAAAACTACTCATTTCTATTTTGTTTAATGTATTTTTTTTATTTTTATTGTTATTATTTAGGTGGGAAAATAAAGGAGGGGCTTAGGTGAGAATTGATGATGTAGACATGTCAAAGGTACTGTAAAATTGAGGGGATCCTCATCTCATCCTTTTCCCCATATCCTTTTACCCCACTATTCACTGTCCTTTGCTTTACCTCTAGGGAAAAAAAATAAATAACTAAATAAATAAAAATCTTTATTTTTATATTTTTAATTTAATTTTTATATATTAAATTTGCAATTTTTGTTAGGGCAAATTCTAATATGTTATTTTTTTTTGATACAAAAAAAGAGGATGAGTCCTAAATCTAGACTAGGATCTGGCGGGGATAAGACACCCCGATCGCATCATGCTCAAGCCAGTCACCCAATGCATACGGTTAATATGTTATTAACTATATACGCATACGGTTTATCGAAAGTCGAATTTTTGATCAGTTTGGTATATTTTGCTCCGATGTGTGGAAACAAATTTCTTTTGATGGCGAGAGCTTAAATAATTTCTAAAAAAATTCTATTAAGTCATCGGATGGTTGTGTTAGTTGTGTCACTTTTAGTTAAAATAGGAAAAACGAGAATTATTGACGATTAAAAGTCCTCAATAATTTTACAAAAAAAAAAAATAATCATCACAGTACATATTTTAGGACCCATCGGCCTGTTGAGCTTGTGACTTTTGGCTTTATGACCCCAGTGATGTAACATTGGGTTTGTTAAATTATATGGGCTTGTGGAATAGGCCCATCACAAGAAATCAATGGGGGATAAGTAGATCAGGAACTAGGCCCTGATTTTTTTTTTCCTCCATTTATGATGGTTGGCCTATCTAATTTAATGGAATGAATTCAGTCTGGCGAAAAGGTCAATAAATGAATTTAATGACAAAAAAGCATTATAAATATTAAATATAGGCAGTTAATGAGAAAAATTGCCATTATTATGCACCTAATCCCTTTGAGTTTATCAAGGAAAACAAAAGGAAAAATAACTAGAGAGCATAAATATGTGATATTGATCATTAGCCGCATCTGACCCGCCATATAATTTTTGAACAAATAGTATACAACTATTATCATTATTGTTACATTTTTGCTTATGTTTTTTTTTTTGGAATTATGTTATTTTAAAATAACATTGGGAAAAATAACTAGAGAACACACATGGTTCGGAGGTATGTTAAAAACACCATTGGGAAAGATATACTCTTTCACAAACTTTCTCCCTTAACCTTCACTGCATACTCTGATAGTGATTGGACATCCTGTATTGATACAAGAAAAAGTGTGACAGGTTATCTTATCTTTCTTGGAAATTCTCTAATATCTTGGAAGTCTAAAAAGCAACATACTATAAGCAAGTCCTCTGCTGAAGCAGAATACAGAGCACTTGCATATACTAGTTGTGAAATCCAATGGTTGTCTTCTTTGTGCCAAGAATTAGATATACACTTAAATTGTCCAATAACTCTGTTTACAGACAGTAAATCTGCTCTGGCTATGGCTTCTAATCCTGTCTTCCATGAAGAACGAAACACATCGAGCTAGATTGTCGCTTGATCAGGGAGACTGTAGCCTCTGACTGATTCAGCTGCAACATATCCCATCAAAGGACCAGCTAGCAGATTTCCTCACTAAAGCCCTACCAAAGCCCATTTTTCAGCACCTTAGATTAGCATGCCAAACATACATGCTAACCTTGCGGGGGTAACAACATATATAAGAGATGTACCAAACCCTAATAATACACTTTTCACTTTTTCTGCTTTCATCCTTCATCGTCTCCTCAAGTTCTCTCTCTTTACTTTTCTCCCGAAATATCAGATCTACATCTTAACAAGATCCTTCGATTGTTTGTTTGCGTCATGGATTGTGTCATAAAAAAAGGCACAACATATATTGTGTCATTAATTAGCATACAATATAATATATATGGTTTGTTCATTACATTATTATTTAATAATCTGAATAACTTGATGCAGCTGCTGGCTACATTAATTTCCAGAGATTCGTTTAGTAATTCGTTGTATTTATTTAAAAAATATCTACTTTGGAATCTGTTTACGTGTAAAAAAAATTCCGCCTTGTGATTGCTTCATTACTGCAAATAATCGGCTAGTTGTTAACAATGGATTTAATTCCAAAACTAAAAATTGTATATATTTTTTTTAGTACAAAGAAGGAGGTCGGCGGCCTAAGACTTAGACACGAATACTTCGGGGGTACAATACCCCAAAATTGTAGCTCCAGCTAAGGCCCTGACGAATGAGAAAAATTGTATATATTAGTCGACGCATAGCTCTGGATACCGTTGCTGGCTACCAAAAAAAAATTATATATATTAAATATTAGTACATAATATCATTCCGTTCTTAGAAAGTAGCTCCCAAAATTTAGACTAGAGAAAAAATACCCCTCCTTCCAACCATTAGCGCAAAAACTAAGAAGACACACACACACACGCACAAAAAAGGAAAAAACTTTAATTTTCTTTCCAAAAATACACTCCATTTTCTTCTATCTGATTCAGTTATAGACCATGAAATTCTTCGTGCTCGTGAAGGTCTGCCCGAACTGCCAATTGGACGGTGCCACGTTGTTGGAGGTCAACGTGCGACCGTCACTACCGGTGACCCTGAACGACAGGGCCTGGCCAACAAGGAGCTCGTCTGATTGCCAGTTTTGGCCCCAGTTGCACTTCATGTCTATCTACTCCGGTTTCGTGCCCTTCACGCTCACGCTAACGATATCCCCTGCGCCTGCAACGTTGGTGATCAGTACCAAGTTGAAGTACTGGCAGCCGTTGATTGTGAATCTTATCCCGCCTTGCTTTCTGCACGGCACTCTGAAGAATAACAGAGAAAAAGAGAAGGCATTCGACTTAGATGCAGTTATAAATTTTCTATGCCCACTCGCAAAAATAGTTGGATTTGCTTTGCAGGGGTTTGTTTGTTGGAAGTTAAACAAGCTGAGTAGAGCTCGAGCTACTGATAATCAACATTCGAGCTTTTACTGAGAGTTGAACTCGACTAAGTTTTAAGTTTACCAACAAATTGCTTTGTTTTGTTGGGGTGTGTTTGTTGGTGGTTAAATTAAAGGAGCCGCACGTGGGCTCGGCTCAGTTCGGCGTGTTAAGACTTGAGTTCAGCTCAACTCATTTGATAAATGAGTCGAGCTTGAACTCATTTAAAGCTCGTTCAGTTAACGAGTCGAGCTCAACTTTTTATGTATTTTTCTATAGTTTAACTCGATTTTGACTTGTTAAGACTCGAGCTCGCTCATTTACATCCCTGTTGATGGGAAAAGAGCCAAGTCGAGCTCGAGCTATTGGTACTCAAAGTCTGTCGAGCCTTTATCAAGAGATGAACTCGACTCCATAATCAACAAATTTCTTTGTTTTTCAGTTTTTTTTTTTTTTTTT